CTATCAAAAATATTCGAAAATCTTCACTGGAGAATTAATAAATATTGAAACTCGAAAACGCTAAATTTTACAAAATTCAACAAATCCAAATAAACAACGATCGTGGCGTCCTCTCTTAGACCCTTTGTCAAATACACTCCACCTGTTATTTGGGTAACTATGACGTCATGAATCGTAGTATGTGTAGTATGATGTTTACCTGTCGCTAAAATACGCCTTAGAAGAAAATGAAAATTCAAAAGCCGGCAATAGAAACGTATCGATATTTTTTTCATAATCATATCGATATGAAAAAGAAGACTTTGAAAGAATATTGTATCGATACCTATGAATATCGATAAGCCCTTCTCTAACTCACTTGGGCACAAGATGGCGAAAGTTGAGGGGGATTCACATGGCGGGTATTATAAAACTGCTTTGATAGTTAACTTAAAGTTAACTTATTGAATTACATGTAATTCCAGAAGTTAACTTTAAGTTAACTGTCAAAGCAGTTTTATAATACCCGCCCTAAGGGTGGGTATTATAAAACTGCTTTGACAGTTAACTTGAAGTTAACTTTCTGAATTACATGTAAAGCCTAGTACTCATAACTGCGAAATTCGCATTTTTTTGACATTGCTTCGACAAATTGACGTTTGATACACGCATAAAACGTCAAATTGTCAACGCAATGTCAAAAAAATGCGAATTTCGCAGTTATGAGTATGAGTACTAGGCTTTATTCCAAAAGTTAACTTTAAGTTAACTCTCAAAGTAGTTTTATAATACCCGCCCTAAGTCGCATAAACACCAAATATCGAATAAATAACTCATTTGGCATCAATTAAGTCCTGATAGTGTTAAAATGCATCATTAACATAACTGTAGTACAAAATAGGCCTAAAATCAATTTCTGCTCTATTCGTTCGGAGTAACTCCCAAAGTCAAATGCGTGCAAATGCACTTAATGCGAGTCACTCGGAGTCATTCCATTTCACTCGAATATGAACTAAAATCTGTTTTTTTTTTTAAGATAATTCCCCAAGTCAAAAATTTAGTAACTATGTTGGCAACACAAGCCTTTTCTACATAAAAATTTGAAAGTATTGACAATTTTACATTGTATTGCCAACCTAATGTCAGTTTGAATTTTATCTTTAAAATAAAAACGCACTCTAGAGTGTTCGGTGAGTGCACCAGTTTGAACGCTAAAAACTGTACGATACGCTAACAATCCGAACATAAAGTATTGTTCTGTCCGCGCTTAGCTCGGGTAGTCGAACACAAGAAATGTTTGCTCGCTTATGAGCTGCATCAATCCGAACATAAATTATTGCAAAATGCGAGCCGAGTGCCGACTAGTGCCGGTAGTGGAATACGCCATTAGCGATCATGGCTGACATACTATGACGTCACAACATAAAACTCGGCTGTAAACATGTTGTAACCATCCTACGACTTACGAGGGATAGTTACTGGTTGTAGTATATCAGTGCATCTTTTTCTATACACGAAAATGAGCATATGGGCAAAACAGCTGCCTACGATTATCGGAACAGTTCTTTCCATTATAAATAGAGGATTGTTTTTCCCCATTTTGCCATAGTTTTCTGTGATTTTATTAGAGGTTTTTTGCAAAAAAAAAATCTTCACTTGTGCACAACGCAAAATTTTGTAAAATTCAACAAACCCAAATAAACAACGACTATGGCGTCCTCTTTTAGACCCTAGGTCAAATACACTCCACCTGTTATTTAGGTAACTATGACGTCATGAATCGTAGTATTTTATGTGTAGTATGGTAGTATGATGTTCATTGTTCGCTAAAATACACTTTTTGTAGGTGAGTTCGGAATGTTAGAAAGTGTCGACACTTTTTACAGTATTGACACTATAGCGTTTTTTAACTGGTAGGAGTGCTTGGTGTACACTTTTTTTGCGTTTGGAAATAGTTTGGTGTCTGAATGGTGTGAAGATGGTGGGACACACCGTTTACTCGGTACAAAATGATGGTGTTTGGGTGTTACACCGCCAATTACACCTTCATCACGTGATATACCACTGCAATACACGAACACCGCACTAACACTGCATTAAAATCAAATTCCGAACCTTGTAACGAGTAAATGGTGTCCCACCATCCTACACCATTTGGACACCAAATCATTTCCAAACGCAAATAAAGTGTACACCAAACTTACTCCTACTAGTTAACGAGCACCACAGTGCAAAAAGTGTCGACACTTTCTACCATTCCGAACTTACCTCAGGTGCAACAAGCACTTTTCGAAAGGAATAAGCACATAACGTCTCGGAGTTTCCAGAGCTCCTCCTAGGTGGGAAAGGAATAGAACTAACAACTCAGTTCAAGTTAGTGCGACGCAAAGGCTGAGTTTGGTTTTTACACTCTGTAAACTCTGAGCTCGAAATGATAAGATCCTGTTCGTTTCAGCTCTCAGAGTGTTCGCTTTTGCTTTGAGATTATGACCGCGTATGACGTGGAGTGCAAAGTGCAAAGCCAAATTCATCCAAAAGGTAAATTCGGAATGGTAGAAAGTGTTGACACCTTTTACACATGCCGAGTTGGTTTTTGTCATCTTTTTTGTCGATTTGCTCCGAAATGTTGACAGGCACGTGACTGGATCAAACAGTTTCAATTTACAAATCACGTGCCTGTCAAAAGTTTGGAGCAAATCGACGAGAAAGATAACAAAAACGAACTCGGCCATTATTGACACTGTGGCGTTCGTTATATAATTGTTAGGAGGTTGGTGTACAATTTATTTGCGTTTGGAAATAATTTGGTGTCCGAATGGTGTGAAGATGGTGGGACACCGTTTACTCCTTAGAGCAGGTAAAGCGCTGTCCTACGGACATAAGGAGTAGGAACGCGCCATTCTGCTATAAAACGAAAAGTGAAGCCAGTTTTTGGCCAGAGCCGCTTTCGGGTGCAGAGTGTGAAGCTCCTAGAAAACTTCACACCTGTCATAATGCTGTCATACTCCATCCGTTTTGCACTTGACCGCTTAAAACTGAACGAGTCAAACTGTAGCTGGAGTACTTCGGAGTAACTCAGGAGCGCTCAAAGGGTGGCACCCGAAAGCAGCTCAGGTGTTTGGCACCAAATGATAGGTAAAGTAAAGCATTGAATTGCCTATACCGCCATTTTTTTGGTGGTGCCAAAATACCTGAAGTGAGTTCGGAATGGTAGAAAGTGTCGACATTTTTTACACTATTGACACTGTGGCGTTCGTTAGTTGGTAGGAGAAAATTTGGTGTACACTTTATTTGCGTTTGGAAATAATTTCGTCTCCGAATGGTGTTAAGATGGTGCGACACCGCTTACGTGGTACAAAATGATGGTGTATTTGGTGTTACACCGCCGATTACACCTTCATCGCGTGATATAACCTTGCACTACACGAACATCGCACTAGCACTGCACTGAAATTCCATTCCGAACTCAACTCTGGAAAAAAACGGCTTCATTTTCCAACTTCATGTTACTACTCCTTTACCTTTACCTGCTCTAAGGTTTACTCTGTACAAAATGATGGTGTATTCGGTGTTACACCTCCGATTACACTTTCATCACGTGCTAGCTGAGCTCGGAATGGGATTCTAGTGCAGTGCTAGTGCAGTGTTCGTGTAATGCACTGTTATATCACCTGATGAAGGTGTTATCGGCAGTTTAAAGCTAAGCTGTTTTCTCGCGGTGGAACTGGTTCGATCTGGGTCAATTAAGTTCGAACCTGTACATTCTTGCGTTGAACCAGTGACGTCACATTGAACCTGGTTCAAAAAAGTTCGAACCGGCCTCATGGCGTGTTCTCCGTTGACATAAGACTGTGGTTCAAACCTTCCATTTTCTCGCGTTTACAAATGGTAACGTCATCTACTAATTGGTTTAAACCGTAGTTCGAACCATTCGCCCCGCGAGAAAACGCCTCTAGTACTCATAACTGCGAAATTCGCATTTTTTTGATATCGCTTCGACAAGTTGACGTTTGTTACATGCATAAAACGTCAAATTGTCAAAAAAATGCGAATTTCGCAGTGGTGCGTACGATAAGTCCGAACTATTGACACTTTTTACCCTGACCCGTCATTATGTCGCACTTTTTACACCATTCGTACCGTTCAGCGTTCATTTTCCAGTGTAGTTTAGATGGTTGCGTTCCAAAACATAACTGCACCGCACTAACGCTAACCGGTTCAGACAAATCGTACGCACCAATAGTTGTATTCCTTTCAAGAGTTTGAAACACTCGAGCTACTCGTTCCGGTGTTCAGTCGCCCCCGAATTACAAGGAACAGATGCGTGGCGTGCGTAACAAACACTTTTCGAAAGGAATAAGCGCGTGAAGCTCCGGAGCTGTTCTGGAGCTCCTCCTAGGTGTGAAAGGAATACAACTTATGAGTACCAGTCTTAACACCGGATACACCATCATTTTGTACCGAGTAAACGGTGTCCCACCATCTTTACACTATTCGGGCATAACCAGTCAGAGCGAATTTCATTGTTTGAAAACAGTCAGAAAACTAGTTTCAACCAATAAAATTCACTCTGACTGGTTTACTTTTTGAAAGGAATAAACGCGTAACGCCCCGGAGCTGTTCTGGAGCTCCTCCTAGTTGTGAAAGGAATACAACTAGTGTCAATAGTGTCGACACTTTATACGATTCAGAACTCATCTGATATAACACTGCATTACACGAACACCGCACTATAGCACTGCACTAAAATCTCATTCCGTACGCAACAAAAAAACCTACACCAGCTGGGTTCGGCTATTCAGCGCGAAGTTGGAGTGGAATGAACAGAGCTAATGGAGTTCCCCCTAATACGGTAAAAAGCAATACCCGAACCTTAACCCGAACGGCTGGAGTGCGAATGGAGTCACTCGGAGTTCACGGAGTGAGCAAGCCGAACCTACCTACGGTTCACATCTTTTCTCTGTCAAATAACTGTCAGGGAACGTCGAATGACTGTCAATTTTATAAAAATAAATAACTGCCATTTTGTATTCCTGATACCTAAAAGTATTTTATTATCTATTTATTATTATAATTACATTATACAATATTCAGTAATAATTAGTGAATAAGTGCGCTAAAATTTACAAACAAAATTTATATCTGGTGATCGAGGGTCCAAAAATATACGGCCACAATGGCTCCAAGCAAAAAATTCAAAACTTACAGCAGAGGAAGAAATATCTCGATAAGTTCCGCACAGGCCGTCGATATCCTTTTCGCTAGTAACCTGACCAAAAGAAAACTGCATGGCAAAAACAAAAAAAATCGGTTTGAAGTCAAAGAATTGCAGACAAAAATCAAAACAATTCTCCAAGACGAAGCTTCGCTTCACGTCAATGTAAACGATACCTTTGATACAGTATTTAAACAGCAAAAATTGAACAATTTAAAATCTACAAATGCATCTAATGCAACTTCATCTTTCTTTACAAAAAGCCACTCTTCACATTATGTTAGTGTGGCTTCACCCATGGTAAAAAAACTACGCTCATTTAGCAAACAAAGCCAAAACAATAATAGCAGTAACATCCTGGATTCTTGGTTTGAAAAACCCACTCCACCTGGAGCAGGAATTACTAATTCACTTGAAATTGAAGTTGCCAGTGGGAAATGGAAAGTGAATAACAATAATTCTGTATTTGAATCGCCCAAAAGAATGCTTAGATCAAACTCTACTATTTCTTCTACTAAAGAAGCAAGTACTAATAACTCTTTTAAATTTGCAAAGACATCTCAAATTATGCTTAGATCGTGTTCCAAGAGTCAAGACAATATACCACAAGCAAGCTTAGATAACATTTCACTACCAATAAATCAACTATTCACAAATTCCGTAAGAGGGCGAATACATAGTAGCACTCCACTCTCTACTCCAGTAGTCCCAGCAAAAACCAAAAAAATTTTTCCACAACCAATAAACGAAGATCCAGTAAGCGAATGCATCTTACAATCCTTGGAAGAAATACAAAGCTGGAATACTTCTCTGACAACTGTAACTTCTAATTCAAAACCTGTTGTTAATAAATCGGAATACACTCAACCCATGGTGCTAGCAACATCTTGTGACTTTGTTTTTGAACAGTTTTTCTCCACCTCAATTCAACAAAACTCGTATCCAACCAGGTACGAAGAAAACCTCACAATGAATGAATCATCTATTTTGTCTACTACAAGTCCAAGACAAACAAATAACTTTATAACTTATAGAAGGAGACGTAAAACACAATTTGTGCAAAAGAAAAAGGAGCAAAGTAAAGAGTTGGTTGTACTGCTAGAAAAACAGAATAGCTTGAAGCCATTTAAAAAACAATTAGTTGTAAGACTTCAACGACTCCCATTATCAGCTATCAAACCCAAAATTAGCCTTAGGAATAGCCATTTCAATAATAATTCACAAGGAGCTTCTATGATGAACCACTCACATATGGAGTTGTCTGTATTTGTTGAGGAATCTAAAACAAGTGGTTCATTTAATCAATCTAGTCAAATTATTATTAATGCCAAAGAATCTTCAGTATTGCGTCGTTTGGGATTTGAAGATGTCTCTGGTAAGGATAATGATTGTATATATTTATAGTTGTGATGGTTGAATATTTTATTGATTCTTTGTTATTTACAGGGCCAAGATTCCGAACCCACGATTCGACAGTATCGTCTATATATTTTATATGGACGATACTATCAAATGGTGTGTTCGGAATCTGGGCCCAGATTTTATTTTTTTTCTTACAGTTTTATATGATAACTTCCTATGGAGAATGAATTTATGATCTAAAATTCTAGTTTTCAGAGTCTTTTAAATCCACAGAGTTCCAAATTTATGCAGTTTTGAGAAGTTTTGGTGCTCCAATAATGAGGCTCTAAATGCTATTAAATCTATAGAATTTTTAGTTTTTGAGGCCTCTAGTTTTTGGTTGTCTTCAGTATTTTTCTTGGTATTCTCAGGAAAGATTCTTTAGTCCCCTCCTCAATCTCTTCAGACTTTTTTTTGGTGGACTTTAGCAACTTTAAAAATTTCATTCTTGTGTCTTTAGCTCAGTTTTTAGTCATATAATCATAAGTTTCTAGACATCCTTGTAAAAACATCAAAGTTTAGTCAAAAGCTCTAGAATTTTTGGAATTCTAAGAATCTTAGACTTTGGTGTATGTTCAGAATCTTTCTTCTCTGGGAATTTCAGCTCTAAGAATGTTAGAATTGATCTGCTAAAGCTCAACTTCTGTAGAATGACGACAAATCATAGTTTTATTCACCTCCAGCTCTAGGAGAGCCAACAAAAGGACTTTAATACTTTTTTAGTACAAATTTCAACTTTAGCAGAGCCTGGAATATGATTTTTACGCCGCTAGTTCAGTCTCAATTTTTCAATGTACAAGAGTCAAAAATGAGCTTTTTAAGCTACTCTAGCTCGAGCTCTAGCTTTATTTTGTCCAAAAGTCAATGTGTTATGGTCCTTTATCTAGTATGATCAAGAGCAAGGGGCAAACCACCTAGGAATTCTTTGCCAAAAATGTGGGGAATTTAGAGGAATTTGTGGGAAATTTAGAGGAATTTGTGGGGAATGTGCTCGGGAATGTGAATTAGGAATTCATCCGAATTTATGACAATTTGGGAAATTTATAGGGAATTTAGAGGAATTTATGGGGAATTTAGGAGAATTCATGAGGAATTTATGAGGAATTTAGAGGAAATTGTCAAATTTAAAAAATTCAAAAGAATAATGAATACAGTTTTTGTAGGCTGATTTCCAAGGTTTTTCGTGTTGTTATTTTCAACTGAAAAAATTTTAAATTTTGGGAAAATAAGCTTCTCACCCTCGTTCTCACCTTCTTCTTTACATTCAAAATTTTCCCTTCAGTAGTTTTGCAGGAAAACTTTGAAATGTGTCAGATTGTATTTTCAACTAATTCAGTTTTTGTAGGTTGATTTCCAAGATTCCTCATGTTGTAATTTTTCAATGGAGAAATTTGAAATTGATTTCAACCTACAAAGATTTTTCATGTTGCTGTTTTCTACTAGAAAAATTTGAAATTTTGAGAAAATGATGTTCTCACCTCCCTCTTTACTTCTAAAAGTTTCAAAATTTCCCCTTTTCTAGTTTTCCAGGAAAACTTTGAAATATGTGAGACTGTATTTTCAAGTAATTCAGTTATTGTAGTTGATTTCCAAGATTTTTCATGTTGCTGTTTCCTACTAGAAAAATTTGAAATTTTGAGAAATGATATTCTCACCTTCCTCTTTACTTCTAAAAGTTCCAAAATTTCCCCTTTTCTAGTTTTCCAGGAAAACTTTGAAATATGTGAGACTGTATTTTCAAGTAATTCAGTTATTGTAGGTTGATTTCCAAGATTCTTGATGTTGTAATTTTCGAGGTAATTTTTTACTGGAGAAATTTGAAATTCTGAGAAAATGAGCTTCTAACCTTTCTCTTTACATGAAAAAGTCTTAAATTTCTCCCTTCACTGGTTTTCCAGGAAAACTTTGTAATGTGTGAAACTGTATTTTCAACTAATTCAGTTTTTGTAGGTTGATTTCCAAGATTTTTCATATTGCTGTTTTCCACTGGAAAAATTTGAAATTTTGAGAAAATGATGTTCTCACTCGTATTCTCACCTTCCTCTTTACATGCAAAAAGTCTCAAAGTTTTCTCTTTTCTAGTTTTCCAGAAAAACTTTGAAATATGTGAGCTCGTATGTGAGACTGTATTTTCAACTACCTAATTCAGTTTTTGTAGGTTGATTTCCAAGATTTTCCATGTCGCTGTTTTCCACTGGAAAAATTTGAAATTTTGGGAAAATGATGTTCTCACTTTCCTCTTTACTTCTAAAATTTCAACATTTCCCCTTTTCTAGTTTTCCAGGAAAACTTTGAAATATGTGAGACTGTATTTTCAAGTAATTCAGTTATTGTAGGTTGATTTCCAAGATTCCTCATGTTGTAATTTTTCAATGGAGAAATTTGAAATTCTGGGAAAATGAGCTTCTAACCTTTCTCTTTACATGCAAAAAGTTTCAAATTTCTCCCTTCACTCGTTTTCCAGGAAAACTTTGACATGTGTGAGACTGTATTTTCAACTAATTCAGTTTTTGTAGGTTGATTTCCAAGATTCCTCATGTAGTAATTTTCCAATGGATAAATTTGAAATTCTGGGAAAATGAGCTTCTAACCTTTCTCTTTACATGCAAAAAGTTTCAAATTTCTCCCTTCACTAGCTTTCCACGAAAACTTTGAAATGTGTGAGACTGTATTTTCCACTAATTCAGTTTTTGTAGGTTGATTTCCAAGATTTTTCATGTTGCTGTTTTCTACTGGAAAAATTTGAAATTTTGGGAAAATGAGCTTCTCACCTTCCTTTTTACATGCAAAAAGTTTCAAAATTTTCCTTTTTTTTAGAGGAATTTGTGGGGTATTTGGAGAAGTTCGTGGTAGGGTAATTGGAGGAATTATGCGTAAAAAAATCCCCTTTGAGGAATTGTTTGCACCAATTCTGGGATGGTGGTTTACCCCTTGATCAAGAGTATGATTCAACTCTCAGAGAGTCTCCAAAACATGGGTCCTGAATGTTTAAAATCTTCAAATCTTGATATTCTTTAGTGACAAATCTAAAGTTCTATTTAGAGTTCTGAATCTTTTAAATCTACACTATTCAAGTCTCAAATTAGTGGAGTTTTGAAAAGTTTTTGTGTTCCAGAGTCTTTTATGATGATCCTCAAAAGTGTTTTAAATCTTTGTAGATTCTTTGGAGATTTTCGCCCAAGATCTTTAGGGCCTCTAGAATCTTTAAAGTTTTCAGTTTTTGGTGACTTTAAAATACTGAGTTTTACTTACAGTCAATTCAAATTCTTTAGTCCTTATTGTCTTCAGACTTTTTCTTGGTTTAGAACTCAGTTTAGAATGTATAGTCTAGAAGACTTTAGCAGCTTTAAAAATTCCATTGTTGTGTCTTTAGTCATATTTAATTTGTACTAAAATTCTTTATAGAAAAACAGGTAAATTAGACTTAAGCTTCTAGAAATCCTTGTAAAAATCATAAAGAAGTTTCAGAATTTTTAGCATTTTAAGAGTCTAGTTCAATTTGGCTAATCATAAGCTTCCAGAAATCCTTGTAAAAATCATGGTCTTCAGAACTTTAGGAATCTTTGTTCTCTGGTGTGTTCCTGAGCCTTTTGGCCGTATAAAGTCTTTAAATTTTCAGACATCTAGAAAGATTTCCAATTTTCATGCTTCTTCAAATGAATTTATGCTCTATAAGGATTAGAAATATCTTCTATGAACTGCTCTGGTTCAATTTTTACTCTAGAGTGGACATAAATCAGAGTCTAGTTCAATTTGGTATCTATTAGAGCAGATAATGAGATTTTCATGCATCCCTAGCCAAAATCTCAAGTTGAATTTTGAATTTAAGATAGATTTTATTCGGCTTAAGCTCAACTTTAATATAGAATGACCTATTTATTTTTCTAGTTCAATATCAACTTTAGTCACTTTAGACAAGCCAACAAGAGAATTTTCATAATTCTTTAGTTCAAATTTCAGCTCTAAAAAAGTTGTTTATTGAGTTTCTACGGTTGAATTTCAGCTCTAAGAATGTCAAAATTGAAATGTTGAGGCTCAATTTTTCTAGAATGATCACAAATCAGAGTTTTATAAACCTCTAGTTCAAACTTCAGCACTAGAGAATCCTGGAATAGGATTTTTACGCCTCTCTAATTCAGTCTCAGTTTTGCAATATACAAGAGTGAAAAATGAGCTATTTAGGCTGCTTTAGCTCTATTTTTACTATAGAATTGTCAAAACATTTCATTTGCTATACAATCAATAGAATCCATTGGAAATTCTTGAGGAAATTTTCTCAAAAGTTTTGGAATTCCCAGGAACTCCATCAACCACCAGTCGATTCAGGATCTAAAAGTCCTAGGAATCTCTGACAAGATCTACAGTTCTTAAGAATCTTTTTCTAGAAGGAGCAAATAAAACTTATTCATGTTCATGTTTTTTCTATTACAGGCTCTTGAATTTTTTCAACCTATTTGGAAAAATTCAAGAGCCAGGAATAGACAAAAATTGAGACGGAAAAACAGAGAATTAACCAAAGAAGAAAATGTAGAAAAATTGAGAAAAAAAAGGTAGATAAGAAACTTTATTTAGAAGCCCCAAGAAATTCACAAAATTATGACTCAAGATTCAGGAAATTTGCAAAACAATGATTCAGATTTCATGATCTTCCCAGGGTGCTTTTATAGAAGTAACAAGAATTTCTCAAGGTTTGCAGAGTCCAAGATTCTGAGATCCATAGTCTTTTTGAAGAAAAACAGATCATTTGCAAAAGAACAATTCAGGATCTAAAAGTCCTAGGAATCTGACAAGATCTACAGTTTTTGAGAATCTTTTTCTAGAAGCACTAAACAAAACTCATTCATGTTCATGTTTTTTCTATTCCAGGCTCTTGAATTTTTTCAACCCGAGTCTCAACCTATTTGGAAAAATTCAAGAGCCGGGAATAAACAAAAATTGAAACGGAAAAACAGAGAGTTAACCAAAGAAGAAAATGTAGAAAAAAAAGGTAGATAAGAAACTTTAATTAGAAGGCCCAAGAAATTTACATAATTATGACTCAGGAAACAGGAAATTTGCAAAACAATGATTCGGATTTCAGGATCTTTTCAGGGTGCTTTTATAGAAGTAACAAGAATTTCTCAAGGTTTGCAGAGTCCAAGATTCTGAGATCCGTAGTCTTTTTGAAGAAAAACAGATCATTTGCAAAAGAACAATTCAGGATCTAAAAGTCCTAGGAATCTGACAAGATCTACAGTTTTTGAGAATCTTTTTCTAGAAGCACTAAACAAAACTCATTCATGTTCATGTTTTTTTTATTCCAGGCCAGACTCTTGAATTTTCTCAACCTATTTGGAAAAATTCAAGAGCCGGGAATAAACAAAAATTGAAACGGAAAAACAGAGAGTTAACCAAAGAAGAAAATGTAGAAAAAAAAGGTAGATAAGAAACTTTAATTAGAAGGCCCAAAAAATTTACATAATTATGACTCAGGATTCAGGAAATTTGCAAAACAATGATTCGGATTTCAGGATCTTTTCAGGGTGCTTTTATAGAAGTAACAAGAATTTCTCAAGGTTTGCAGAGTCCAAGATTCTGAGATCCGTAGTCTTTTTGAAGAAAAACAGATCATTTGCAAAAGAACAATTCAGGATCTAAAAGTCCTAGGAATCTGACAAGATCTACAGTTTTTGAGAATCTTTTTCTAGAAGCACTAAACAAAACTCATTCATGTCTATGTTTTTTTTATTCCAGGCCAGACTCTTGAATTTTCTCAACCTATTTGGAAAAATTCAAGAGCCGGGAATAAACAAAAATTGAAACGGAAAAACAGAGAGTTAACCAAAGAAGAAAATGTAGAAAAAAAAGGTAGATAAGAAACTTTAATTAGAAGGCCCAAAAAATTTACATAATTATGACTCAGGATTCAGGAAATTTGCAAAACAATGATTCGGATTTCAGAATCTTTTCAGGGTGCTTTTATAGAAGTAACAAGAATTTCTCAAGGTTTGCAGAGTCCAAGATTCTGAGATCCGTAGTCTTTTTGAAGAAAAACAGATCATTTGCAAAAGAACAATTCAGGATCTAAAAGTCCTAGGAATCTGACAAGATCTACAGTTTTTGAGAATCTTTTTCTAGAAGCACTAAACAAAACTCATTCATGTTCATGTTTTTTCTATTCCAGGCTCTTGAACTTTCTCAATTTATTTGGAAAATTTCAAGAGCCGGGAATAGACAAAAATTGAGATGGAAAAACTGAGAATTTACTGAAGAAGAAATGTCGAAAAATTAACCCAAATATCAACTTTGCACTACTTATATCAAGGAGTAAACCGCAGAAAAATATTTTGTATCCTAATTCCTAATTCTTTTCAATCAAATATGTGATTTCTGTACCACTGGTGACAAATTTCCCATTAGGCAGCTAACTTTATTGTCCCTAGAGTCCTATCTTGAAAAATATCAACTCAAAGTATTTTCAATGTATTTTCTAAACAGTAATCTCTTTATAGAAAAAGAAAATGAACCTTCATCTACCAGAACCACCAGATCAGCAAAAAGAAAATCGTTGCGGAATTCTTCCTCACTTGACACTTCCTCGCTTGACACTTCCTCGCAAACAAAACGTTACCTAAGAAGCTCCTTAACCGAAAATAGCAATAGACCGTCCACCAGTACCACTGTGGACAATAACATAAGTGAAGACTTATTTACAAGTGGTGATTTTAGTAATAAGTCAGCTCAACTGCGTTTATCCTTATACCGTACCAGTAAGACTGAATTCTCAAGCATCTCGTTAAAAAATAGTACAAAATCTTCAATAACCAGCTTTTCTTATAATGACTCTAGAGAACAAAGTCAGATAACACAATATTGTGGAGACTTGGACGATCAAAGTTCAAATCTGAAAGCTGGTTCTTCATATAATATGATTGTTATTGATGCTTCTCGTGATGATGAAACAAGTGTCTTTAAAATGCCTCTAGCTCCATCAAATAGCCAACCCGTGAAAACTGGAAAATCATGGAGAAGATCAAGCTTTAATAATAAAAGCCTTTTTGATATTACGAAGCGTCAATCTATGAAAATTGTGCCTTCAGATGAAGCAGATTCTAGACAACTAAGACGGCCTACAATATTACAAAACTATATAGGTTCAAGTAAGTTTTTTTTTTGTATTTTCGAGTTAAATATGTATAATAGATAAAATAGTAGGTGTATCAAGGAAATCATTGGTAACTGCCAAGGATATTGTGTTCAAATATTGCAACCAAACAAACCCCTTGCCATTTGAGATGCTTTATCCAAAATCCTTACTGGAAGGTTCCAAAAAAATTGGTGAAGGTGTTTACGGTGAAGTGTTCCTTTGTCCCAAAGAAAATGGCAAAAGTACAGTAATGAAAATAATACCTATTGAAGGCGACAAAATTATCAACGGCGAAAAACAAAAAATGTTTGATGAAATCCTTTCTGAAGTTGTAATTGTTTCGTAAGTGATTGTATAATAATTTTCAAAGTTTTAATGGTACATTTTAGGCAACTATCTAATCTTCGCAATACTTCATCTAATAAAACTTCAGCCTTCTGTGAAGTACAACAAATCTCCTGTGTCATAGGCAAATATCCAGAAACCTTATTAGAGCTTTGGCATCAATATGACAAAGCAAAAGGTAAGTTAAGAATCAGAAACTGAAAACTCTAATGTTGGTTGTTTAGGTTCCGAAAACGACCCTCCAGATATATTCGACAAAGACCAACTCTACATAGTGTTGGAACTAGGAAATGCTGGTCAGGACTTAGAAGCTTATGTGTTCCAAAACGCTGCCCAATCTCTTGCCATGTTTAAACAAGTAACAAAAATAAAATATATAAAATTAATTTTGAATTATTTATTATATTTTCAGATTGCTTTTGCTTTAGCTGTTGCAGAAGAGCAGCTACAATTTGAACATCGTGATTTACATTGGGGAAATGTGCTGCTACAGCCAATTGAAAAGGACAAAAAAGCTACTTTTAAATTGAAAGGTAATAAGGGATTTTATTTGTACTTAAGTTGTTAATTTTTGTTTTTTAGGAAAGGCCAAGTCACTTGCTTCTGAAGGGGTGGAAGCTACCATTATAGACTTTACCCTGTCGAGGGTACTACATGATGGAGTTATAATTTTCAACGATCTTTCATGTGATCCCGATCTTTTTATAGCTAAAGGAGATTACCAATTTGACATCTATAGACTGATGAAACAGAAAAATAAGTAAGTGTATATAAGTGATTAGACTTGTTATAAAAATTGTTTTATTTTAGAAATGACTGGAAATCATTTACGCCTTATAGTAACATTCTATGGTTACATTACATCCTAAAGAAATCCATGACTGAGTTGAGATACAAGAAACCTAGTACAAAAGTACATGCAAAGAATATACAACTTTTAAAAAAATTTGAAGGTGTTATATTGAAGTTTAATTCAGTTACTGAATTCGTCACTGCCAATTTATAAGTTTTTTCTTGTGTAATTTTTTCTATTTAAACTGTTTTGTTATTTTGCAATATGTAGGAATAAATGTGTTTTCAGGCATAGTATTTTTCGTAGGGACTTCATTTGTGAAAAATACTATAGCTAATTAAAAAAAAAAATAAGTTTTTTTGTTGTTTTATTGCATTTATCGTCGTGGGGTTGTATTGGGGGTCATGATCGCTGTCTGACCTGGTGTAAACCTTTCTAGACATTGCGAAGTTTTACTCTTGCTTCGTAATAGTTGCGATAATAATGGAAATGCCGATTCCTCATTCATTCTCACTTTTAAATTTGAGTGAAACTTGATTGAAATCTATTGACAACAACAATAAAGATAGGTACTGAAAAAATGAGATGTCCTCTATATCTTCGAAGGTTTTCAGTTTCATTTCTAGGCTCACCATCACTTAGGCTGGACTCGTTGCTGCTTCGAACACCTTCAAATTGTCTCATATCATCTACATGAAATTTTATAAAATGATCGTCTCTTAACACCTCATATGTTCGTTCACCTTTTCTCCCTGTTATTTTATGTGGTCCTGTCCATGTTTTCCCCAAAGATCTTTCCTTTGTTTTGCAAAATTCACAAATCAATATCTGCTGACCTACTCGCAAATCTGGAAATTTCTTACCTGAATTTGTATAGACTTAAGTATTGAATTTAATTTGGTTTTCTTTTGCTTGTAAAAGCCGATTTTCTGTTTCTTCCACCGTATTTTCCAATTTTTTAATATTCGGATTCTTCCATGTATTCTCCAGGCCTAACAAGATTACCTATGCCCAAATAGCGATACACTGGGAGCAAATCCCGAGGCTCGTTTTTTTTTGTTTATCGAAAATAAAATATTGTCAATATCTGCATCCCACTGGGTAAAACCTACTGACATAGACTGAATTCTTAATGCTTTTTTCAGTTTCTGATTTCGTCTTTCTACTGGATTTGCTCTCTCATGATAAATCGGAGTTGTATGTTGTAGTATGAGTAGCTGTTCAAAAAATGTAGCATTGTATGTAGTGGGTAGGTACAAAAATATTGAATTCCTGATCCCAACATTCTTAACTATTTATTTTTATATCAAACTTAACTTAGTGCTTTATGTTTATGTTGTTTCCGCTATACCCACTTTGATAAAGTTTGAATATTTTTTTGTTTAGTATAAAATAGTAAATTTTAGGGGCCTCAATACAAAAAGCTTAGATGACAGATACCTACCCATTACCCAACATAACGAATCTCTTGAACAAGCGGGACGCTGCCAGTATTAATTTAGCTAGCGGCTGCCACCAGATCCAGATGCATGAAAACGACATTGAAAAAACCGCATGCAGCCCAGAAAACGGGCATTATGAATTCTTGCGCATGCCCTTTGGTTTGAAGAACGCGCCGGCTACATTCCAAAGAGTCGTGGATAATATTCTATATCCCAATATATTGAGCAACTTTAGCACCAAAAGATATAACATCCCATTAATAATAGTTATTCATTCTAAAAGGGAAAGAAGTATTAAGATTTTAGAGCGAGATGTGGTTTGCCTCCCGTCGCGAAACGGAGGGGAACAACAACAAGGTGGCCAAAGAGCACTGGGAATGCTGAAGATGGGACAGGGCAAATCGTTATCTTTTAATAAGTCGTTTAATTAGTTCCTTTCCGTTTTCATGATGTACCAATACACTGGCCTTTTCTACCTAGTTTATCATGGAAAATGTATATACAGACCGGACAAACCTACTAGACACATAGAGAGTAATAAGTCGAATTGGCTTGTAGCCGGTTAAAGCAAAGGCCTTTAAATTTTATTAATAATTCAAAATGGACAATATGTAATCAAGTACGTACTTAGTGACTACTGTCTGTGGGATTTCCCGCTTGTTATGCGTAATTCTCAATTTTAATTCTCAACAATCCAAAGTATCCGATACAAAATATCCGATACATTTGACTCAAATATCCATTCGATACCGATACTTCTAACTATCCAAGTTGCACATCACAGTATTCTACTTATGTTAACTTTTGGAGCCCAAAGCCCCCATAGTAATTTTGAAATTCCGGCGCCTATGAGTAGAAGCATCATGATATTCATACAGAACTCTTTGGAAGCTTTGGAGTTAATTTGGAGCCTGACTTTATGTAAAATAAAATTTCATCTTCAACAATATATCGTGATTTTAAAATGCGTTCTTTTTTTGTTAAATGTTCGCTCCTTTTCCTTTCTATATTTTTCATCAACTGAATTTCACGTTGAATTTTAGGATCCTCCTTTTGTTCTTGAACAGTATCTTCGTTAATTCCTTTTCCCAACGTGATTAAGTTCACCATTAGAGGTAACTAGTGTAACGTGTGTGATTTTCGTTTTTCCTTGTATTTCCTTATTGTAATACCCATAAACTATTGGGTGAACAATAAAAACTACAAACTACTTTCTTGGTTGGATTGAGTGTTTTATTTTTTTCCGTCTCCACTGTTTTAAAGCTACCTAGAGCACGTGGGCCCTTAACCACTATAATCCTAGTGGTGACGCCCGAGTTTTCCGAAAATTCCGAAATCAACCGCTTTCTTTCCGGAAAACCAAAGTAGCACTACTACACCAGCCTTTTATCATACTCCTGTCTAGCCGTATGGTCCTCATCTTCTGTTGGATTTCTCGATAGAAAGTCAACAAATTCATTGTGTTTACTCGCACACTGTTGCACTGTAAAGTTGAATTCCTGTAGAAGCAGTGCCCAACGAGTTAATTTAACTCTTTCATCTTTATATTTATCAAGCAAAGCGAGAGTGCTTTACTATCAGTAATAAGTATAAATGATTTGTCTTCTATAAATATGATCTAAATTTTTTGCATGCCCAGACTACCGCAAGAGTTTCTTGTTCATTTACATGGTATTTTATTTCTGTTTCATTAAATTTTGAACTATTATATAATTTGACGTTGATTTCCAGGTCCCTATTGAAACAAAACTGCTCCTATTCCCTCTTGACTAGCATCTGTTTGTAGTATAAATGGGTTTTCAAAAATTGACCTGTGGAATATTTACAGCTTCTCAAGTGCATTATTAAGTTGTATAAATGCATTTTTAGCTTTAGGGTTCCAACTAAATACTTTTTTGCTTGTAAGTTCAGTAGGTGGTGCAGTAATTGTTCCATTGTTGCGAAATTTGGAATGTAAGTATTCTCGATCTAAGCCAGTTAGCCAAGAAATGACTGCAATTCTTTCATGGTAGTTGGTTTTTTAAATTTTTTTTATACGAAACAGGTGATGTTTTTGTGGAGAATTGTTTACACTTTAGATTTTGTAACCCAGATTATTTAATTTATTTACTCCAAAATAGTATTTTTTTAAAGAGAATCAAAGTTGGTGTATTCTATAAGTCTCTCCAAAACTAACCCAAAGTGAAACAAATGATCTTCGTGATTATTTGAATAGATAATAATTATATCTATCATCTAGATATACTTTGACAAATCTGTCAATGTAGCTGAGCAACCACAGAACATCTGATGAGTAACCTCTTCCAAAACTTCAGTCATGAGTTTTTGAAATGTAGATGGAGCATTCCTTAAACCATACAGCATGACTAAAAATTCGTACATAGCACCATCTGGAGTTCCAAAAGATGTACTTAGTACTTACTTTCTGTTTCCATTGACACTTGCCAGTATCCACTTTTTGAATCCAATTATGAAAATACCTGTATATTACTGAGATCTTTTATTGTATCTTATATGCGGTAACTGCGATACCATTGGCTCAGTTTGTTTATTCAGGTGACAGTAATCAACAGAAAACTGAGGTGAACCATCTTTTTTTTCGACAATCACAACTGGTGAACAAAAACTGGAAAAAAACGTCTGATCTTAAATCGTGCATTTTGTCTATAAGTGTTATTTTGTAGCAAAACGCACTCAAGTACTCTATTTAATGAGTTAGATGGTAAATGGCGAGCGGTATATTGATGGTGTTTATTTCCTTGAGCAACTACCTGAAAAATTGTGGAGGGGGTCTCTTCGCAAAAGAGAGAAACAAACTATTAAATTATATTTTATTATACTTAAAACCAAAAATTTAAATAAGCCAATATCTTTCTATTCTGACAGCCACTTTTATTTTTCCCAATTCAAATTATTTCACATCCGTTCAAGTTTCATTACTACGGACCAGGAAATATCCATACTGAAAACGCCCTACTTTTTCTATTCTTTATAACTTATAAGTTTATACATTACTCTTTCAAACAAAACTTCCGATTCACATTCCCATTTAAACTATCCTTCACCTATATCTATAAATTCTTAAAACTCCTAAGTCATTTACTGACTGCTTATGCAAAATAATTATTTAAGTCATAATCCGACTCACTGGATTAAGTATGCATTACCAACTATATTTTTATAAAAAACCTTACAATAATTTCCAAATGAAAAAACCCTAATTCAAAATTCTTTAATAATTCCTACTCAAAATCGAATATTGCTAAGAGCATTATAATTTTCCTTTGGTAATTCTTTGCAAAATTAAGTAAAATGATAGTCAAAAATAAAACTTGTCACTATAGAGTACTTACATTATTTTGTCCATAAAACACTAAACTAATGTTATTTAATTCTTTTGATTACTTAGAGTTCACACATAATGTTGAATGAGTTTAAATGTTCTTTCTTTCAAAATTTTCTGTACTTTCACAAATATTCGATTAAACACGTTTTTCCGAGGCAATAAAATGAAAGAAACTCTTCGCCAATTTTACCCGGACTGTAGACTTTAAACTCAAAACTGGACTGCAGGCTGAAGACTAACAACTGGACTGAACTTAAACTCAACTCAACTGCCCTCCACTTCTAAAACCGCTGTATTTATCTTTTTCGATTCCCCCCAAAATATTATTAATTATCAACCAAAATCGACAATGGGCGGTCGTTTGACCATCTATAATTTAATTCTATTGGTCGAGCACTTGACCTAGATATTATTCCAAAAACTAATTTCATAATTTTTAGAGGATGATGCAATCTGTTCGAAATTTTTGTCATTTTGGGTCCAATTTAATTAGGTGCTTAACCTTGTAAATTGTAATTGATCTCTTCCGGGTTTTTATTTGTTAAAAATCGAATAACTATGTCGCAATTTCCTGGTTTATCGGGGTCAACAGATTTGGTTTAAGAATGTGAGAACAACACAAAGAAAGCAGAAAAACACATGCGGCCATAAATCACCTATTTAATTACTTTGGCCTCGCTTTTAATAAGTTCATTGATTTGATTAAGGAGATAACATCACGCTTGGTGATTAAATAATAAAATTTTAACGTATATAAATAATTTAATTAATTTGGAATCAACGCTAATTTGTTTCATTTTCAATTTATCGATACTGAATACCGGAAATTCAGTTTTTGATTATTTGATTACATTTAATTTTTACAGTAAAGACATTGTAAATTACGAGTCTATTTTCCCGGGTCATTAGAATTCTATAATCTACTAATTTTGTCGTTGGTTGTCGCAAACCTTCTTCAAAAATATCATGAAAACTATTTAATATGTTTTTTTACAGGGTGAGTCACTACATTTTGACACCGACCTGCAGCCGTAATTACAGGTGATAGGTGAAAGATGTAAATACAAAAATTGTAGCATTTTACCCGAACCACCAGACTTTTTAATTAGATTGAAATAATGAGCAACACAAAATTAAAAAAATTGTCAATGTTCACTTTTTTCAAATGGAATGCACTTTATTTTCATTGAAATTCTTGAAGCTCTCGTTTTTCTGATTCAGATTACATAATATATTAATGTTTCTTTCAATAGTTTTGGAAATATCTGGAGTATAGTTATTCAAAGAGCTATTCACGTATATGAATGTTTTGTGAACAGGTGACAGGTAAATCAAGGTAAAATATATTCAAAAAACTACTGTCTTTGAATAACTAAACTCCAGATATTTCCAAAATGATTGAAAGAAACATTTACATAATTATATCATATAATCTGAATCGAGAATTTTAAGAATTTGGAAGAAAATAAAGGGCATACCATTTAAGTGAACATCGACATATTTTGCTACTTTGCGTTGCTCATTTGTTCAATCTAATCAAAAATTCTGGCGATTCAGATAAAATGCTACAACTTTTGTCTTTACACCTTTTACCTATCACCTATAATTACGGCTGCAGGTGGGTGTCAAAATATGGTGACTCACCCTGTACATGCTTATTGTCTTGCAGGGGCGGATCCAGGAGGGGCGCAGGGGGCTAGAGCCTGAAAAATTACTCAAAACATTTAAAAAAATTATATTCTTATAGGAAAATTTTATACAAGAATTTTCCAATAAAATTTTATAGAAAAATTTCCCGAGCTGACACCATTGCTTAATTTATCGTTTTGTTTTTATCAGATTATTTTTTATTTTTTTTTTTATTTTGAATAGGTATTTTAATTACCTATTTTCCATTCTCTGATATGAACTTAACAGGGTACCTACCTGGTGGTCCAATTTGGACACTTTTAATAGGAAACTTCAATTTGTGAGGATCAAATTTTATAAAACCTATAAGTAGATATTGGTAGGTATACAGAACTCATTTTGATATCTTCAACCGTTTTGTCGGTAGAGGGCGTTTTTCGATTTTGAGCAATCAATACTGTGTAAGGTTTATAACTTTTTTGTTTATGAAGATAATGGATTTTCGTGAAAACTTTCTCAGAATCGGGACCAAACATTAAAAAATTGAGCACATCATTGGATTCTTCTCTTCTTGAAAAAGTACTAGTCCAAGAGCCGGTACTAACGGGTATGTGATCGTTGCAATGGATAATTTCTACATAAAACAATAGTTCATATTAACCTTTAAACCAAATGGATGGGTTGCCTTGCTTTCATTGATTTTATAGATAGAACAAAACCATAAGCGCAACAAATAGGAAGTAGGTACCTTGCGGTGTAGGGGGTTCTCATCATATGCGATTGGTATGGGGTTGCCACCCCACCCTTGGCCGCAACCCTTTCAATTATTCTCATAAATAAAAAAGTTATGAAGGTTTCACAGGCATTGCTCAAAATCCAGAAACATCCTCTATACTTAATGAAATTTGAGTATAAGCGTGAGGGATTCATTTCTTTTGTATCTGGCTCAGAAATTTAGGTTTCCTATCAAAGGTATGTCCAAATTAGTCCACCCTGTACATTCTTTAACAACGTATATGTAAAGTAAAAATAAATGTTCAAAAAATCATTGTTGATAATTCATAACCTGCGCCCCCCCCCCCTGAAGAAAATCCTGGATCCGCCCCTGTTGTCTTGTCTGTTAAATGAGTTAAATCGAAAGTAACATTTTGTTGATTTGGTTTTTGTTTTGTTCTTTTCAGGATAAATATTCCAATATACTGTGATTCTGAATTGTTTTCCCAAGTAAATACAACCTTGAACAAAATCTAAAATTGCATTATGTACCTATTTGTAATCAATCCCGTCCTAAAATAGCATCTTCTGACAATGAGTCTACTACATGAAATTTTGTGTCAAATATTTTTCCATCCAGTAAAATAGGCACAATTTAAAAACCTGATGTTTTGAAAGTAACATCTTCTTTGGCTAATCCCAGATTAGAGAATCGTTATCGAATCTTTCAAAAAGTCTACTTCAGAAAAAATCAAAACTTAGTTCATACGCAGAGAACTATAATTTTGCTTCTCCCTCCAGATGATGCCTAACTTGACTGGTTTGACATTCCCTTTGGTACTTTATACTTTTCAAAATAGGATCTGAATTCCTGGACAAATTTTCTCATACTCTGCCAATCCAATCCCGAAAACACGTAGCTGGCAGAGCTGGGCAGTAGCTAGTTACCAAGTAGTTAAGCTACTAGCTTAGCTACTTTTTTGGTAGCTAATAACTTATTCAAGCTACTTTGAAAAAAAAGTAGCTTGTAGCTGTAGCTTTTGGTAATGTGTTTCAAGTATTCATAAGCTACTGTGAAAAGTAGCTAGCTACTAAAAAAGCTACTTAAGCTACTTTTGGTAGATAGTTAATAGTTATTTAGGTATTAATGGCGGAAAGTGTCATTTACCGCCCGAGGGTGTGGTTAACAATACTCAACGCCCAAAATACTTATTACGTTTTATGCGCAGCGGACTCTTCTAGTTCAAAAATAAAATAACTATAGGTACCTATAATATAATGGCATCCATTCGACATTGTTTAAAAAAAAAAACAGTTATCCCCTTATAAAGGTACGTTTCCACCAACCTATCGCCCGCGTTTGAATTTACCGCTCGATAAAAGTAACTTTATACTTTAATTGCTCAAGCTACAATTATCATTTTCTGGGAAATTCTTATCCTGCCTTGCTTAGACTAGTTTCTAGTTTCCTCTGTAGGTACCTATGTTTTATGTGTCCTATTATATTCTCTCATTCGCAGATCACTGTGATCAAAGTGAACCTAATAAATTAATGTCCAGTGGTTTTTGACAAAAATATGAATACTACTTCTTAGAGAAAGTTAATATGTTATTTTCGTATGATGATATTGTCAACTAGCTGCTTAGGAAAGGAGGACCCGGTATTCAACCTTATTAATTTAATTGCCGATTCGATCGAATATTTATTGCAATTCAGCAATAAATTGATATAAATTGCGCTGCAAGCCGCAGCAAAGGCAGACTTAAACCAGTGCAAGTACCTTTCGTTGGGAACGCCCCTCTGGGTATCTTCAGCCTTATCGTTGTCCAGTGCAATTACCTCTCGTTGGGAACGTCCATCTGGACAAGGCATAAGGGTGACGATAAATTAATCTACAGTCCCCCAAGCAGCATTGACGTGTGGCTCCCTATAAGGACCCCAGTGTTCGAAGGGTCATGTATCTTATAGGATTAGCGTACATGTAAGGTTATATTTGGGAAAATATATATCTATATTTTTATATAACCTGAGCGAGTTTCTCTCCATCAACCCCCAAAGCTACAAACTCCCCATGTCACCCCCGTAAAGCGGGTAGTTGTGACAATATTATGAAATTAAATTAGGTAAGGCATGTCCATTGATAAAAGTAGCTTAAATAGTAGCTTTCACTAATTCAAAATGTAGTTAAGTTACTAATAGCTTAGCTACTTTTTCAAAGAGGTAGTTGAGCTACTGAGTAACTTAGCTACTTACAATATAAAGTAGCTTGTAGCTTGTAGCTAGCTACTTTTTCCAAGTAGCTTGCCCAGCTCTGGTAGCTGGACAGGAGGTTGTTTTGTGAGCCTAATCTCTTTCCAAATTTCAGAAGTTATAGAAGGCACATCCTGTAATATGTTGTCTGATAAATTCTGTTGCGAAGTTTCTCCATAAATCGAAAAGCAGATCCTTCAGGGTTTTTTTTTTGGGTGTTCGTACCATGGAGTTGGGCGACAAATCATCGTAGAATTGTATTGGAGGTTATGATCGCTATATGACCAGTGTCCTTATTCTTGAAACAGGGGAAAAGCGTTCCCAGGAGAACGAGTGTTCCGCCTTTCTCAATGATATGAAAATGATAATATAAGGAACAAAGAAGGAATACTCGTTCTTCCGGGAACGCTGCTCCCCTGTTTCAAGAATAAGGACTCTGGTGTAAACCCTTTTTGACATTGCGAAATTTTACTCTCTAATTACCTGTTATTGACCTCACAGATTGACCTGTAGCAAAGGTGACTTATAACAGAACCTGCGTTTTTATTCTCATCAAATTTTACCGATGGATCCACCATTCTATGTCGGTCATTGCCATTTTCCATTTACTAAACAAAGATAGCTAACTCATCGGTGAAACCACCGATGAGAATAAAACGCACAAAAACATGTAGGTATCGCTCTGCGACACATTCTTGTCACTCAAAGTCAAAATTATACATTTCAAAACTATGACTTTTGCTCTTGAAAAATGTTGCAATTCTCTCAAAAATCTCCCCTTATTAAAATGTTTATGTTTCACCCCCAATGACCAATATGTAGCCCTTAAAATAGCCTTTAGATTTATTGTTGGTTTCATATTGGGCATATTATTGTATAGATATATTTTATCCGAACTAGGATTCACTGATGAAATTGCATTTTATTTGGCCTTATCAATTAGTACTATCTTAGGGTAAGCTTTGATTATATTGCATATAAGAAAAATTCAACGAACAAATTGTTGCAGTATTGGTTTGGCAACTTCATCTCAAATTCGTTGCATGACTTTGTTAGCTCTTACCAGTCTTGGAGGTAGAATTGGAAGAAGTGTTTTAAAAGCTTTGGTAATTACTTTAGTTATATCAGGTCCTTTGGAGAATTTGTCAAATAATGGCAAAGAAGTGGTAAGTTTTTGGGTAAAATTATTGTTATTTCAGCAAACAACTAAAGTGTTTACAGGTAAGAGTATTTTCTTGTACAGCATCTTTGCAATTCAACTTAACAAAAGCAAGATTTAGTTTGATGTTTAAGCCATTTGCTCAAGCCATATTTGGAATTAAAACTGAGATTTACGAGGTGAAAGATACCATAAGGTATTGCCTAGCTTATTTAAGAAAAAAAAATGTTTTATTTTCTATGAATTTGTAGATCTATAAAAGATGTTTCAGCTCCAGTAGCTGGTGAAATTGAAAACGAACAAGTTGAAAGGGCAATCAAAGAAGAAAACGATTATTTAGATAATGATAAAACTAATGAGAAAAAAGGTTTGTGAATCCAAAAATTATAAGTTCAAATAAGTGTTTCTAATGATTTTTAGATAATTTAACTGAATCACGTGAATATGAGAAAATGTACTTGAAAAAAGTAGAAATGCGTTGCATGGATCAATTCACTAAAGCCTCGATCAAATGCCGAGCAATGTTTCAAAAAGGCTACGATACGTGTTACGAAACTGTAAGTTGGATTGCTGCTTGGATACTTTGCTGGCCAATGAAATTGGATTTTGTTTGTAATGTAGCTGAGGCCTTAGGAGGTGCTAGTAGGTAACAAGTTGCCTTTGATTCAAGAGCCTGGAATTGTTCAAATTTTGAATTATTATTGCTGGAGATTTTCTCTGGAAGAAATGACCATTGTCCTTGTTCAGTTTTCATCTACACGCCCTGTACCTATATAGTTGTAGGTTAAATTGTGTATTAATGATGTTAAATCATATTTGGGAATGGAAATTGATTCGTTTTTTTTTTCACTTTATTTTTGTTTTTTTTTTTTATTCTAATTGAATTGCGCGTGCTATATGCCATATGCCTAAAAATTGATACGGCTTTGCTAAATTTGGCTTTTAAAAATGCGCGCGTTAAACACTGAAAAAGGATATCTGCGAAGTCCTTACACTGCCGACGAGTAAAGACTTGAACTTCCTGAAAGAGCTGGACAACTGAGTGGAGTTTTGAAGTGAAGCCAGGTAAGGTGAAAAAAATCTTCTTTTCAGTTTCGATATCTTTCAATTTCAATTTTAAATATTTCATCGATTACCATCATTTTATCAGCAACCTGTGGATTTTCCAGTTTTAATTTCGCACAGTCCTATAAAGCTCTAATTGTCCAATGCATCAGAAACTGGTAATTATTCACAATTTGGACTATTCCCGGCTCTTGTAAATCAACTCACATAAAAAGATTCCAAAACAGAATAAATATTTCATTTCAGATGTGATCCATCCAAACACATCGATGCTGGTTTCGGAGAAGGCTACGCATATTTGAAACAGTCAAGAGTTTCTTTGACACAAAATTTCAAAGATGTTAAATTGCAATACAAAATTGGTAAGTATTGCTTTGTTATAAATTGTTTAGGTATTTTTAATTTTTTTAGGTAAAATCAAACAACTGCGGGATTTAAGAGACGCTAGAGACACTGCAAGTGCTATTTTGCATAATGTGAAAAATAAAAAAGCTTTTTTTGATACTATTTCAAACATCATAAAAAGACTATTGGTGTTGGTCTTTATTAGGGTAATTTTTAGTTCACAAACTTATGAAGAAAAGTTTTTGAAAGACATTGAGTTTGATAATTGTTACATAAGCAAGTATGGTATTCTAATATACAAAAACATATATTTATTTCAATAAATGTTAAGGTATTTTCGTAAAATTGATGCCAGAAGAAAATCCCAAGAAAAATCTTCACTGTTACCATTGAAAAAACTCGAAAGAAAACAACTCATTGACCCATTCTCACCAAAACCACTAAAATCTGAAAGAGAGCTCATACTAAAAGAGTCATTTTTGTTATTGCTCGAAATGATTACAGCTAGTACTTTTATACTTTTGGACTCTCTATTCTTTGAAGCTTTAGATATTATAAGACGACATGCCAGAATTGATTATTTGACTACTGGAAAACATGATCTTGTTCTTACAATAAAAGGTATAGGCACACAGATATTTTGTTGAATTGTATATAAGAGATTATTATAATAGGTACAGGCATGATTGCCACCCTCCTACGCTCCCTAATAAAAGGCTTCAACATAAAAAAACGCATCAAAGTCGAGCGTAGCAACGAAAAATGCTTACCTAGACCTCAAAAACTATCTAAATCATATATTTGGAAAATCTACGGTACTTACTTTGCCATATGGCTAATGATGTGGTTCCAAGCTTACTTTTTACGAATGCGAAGGATGATTTGCGCGTACTTTTTCAAAAAACGCGAAAAGAAGCGGATTTTGTTTTTGTACAATGAAACTTTGAAAAGGAGAAAGACTTTTTTAAAGTAAGAATTGCTACTATTGAACTCATGATGTTTTTGTTATCAGAATATAATTTTCACTTACTTATGCAGATGAAATGTCTTATTGCACTTACAAAGATCAATATTTGCAATGAAACATATCAACTTTCCTTAGGTTTATGAGGAGGAATGTGGAAAGGAAAGCCAGGTCGCGTCGTTTGGAGGAAAACTACAATATTTTCCAAATTATGTCCGCCAAAAATCAAGGGAAATGCAAATGGTTGAGGATATTTAAATGTGCAAGAAGAAAATGCTTGGTGAGTCATTCATACACGTAAATATGCTCCTGGAAAAAACTTTTCTGAATTTATTGTTGAATCATCTTCATAGGATCATGAAAAACGTTGTTATGATTTTAGTTTTATGTCTAGGTACCTATTTGACAATAATAAAGTCGTGATTTTCATGAATTTTTCAATTTTTGAGTTTACCAATCGAAAGAGGGCATCAAATTTTGTGTTTTTTCTTTTTGAGGTTTTAGGGCCTGTAAAGAAATTAAAATTATTTCTTTATTTTTTGCCCTGAAAAATTTTGATTTTTTGACATTGCCTCACAAAATTGCCTATAACTCAAATAAATTTCTACAAATTCTGATGAATACTTATATATTCTTCATCAGAATTAAACGCTCTTCAATATAAAATCAAATTGAATCATTTACCTCAAATAGTTTTCAAGATATTGAGCCTCAAAGTTGAAACTCTGTCTTAAATGTTGGAAAAGCTTCAAAGCCGATTATCTCGAAAACGAAGGCCTAGGGTTCGGTGCCCCAAATAACCTTTTTTGAAGTCGCAATCGAGATCTACAATTAGACAAAATTTCGTGCCGATACCTTCTCTGGTTTCCAAGATATAGCCCTTTGAAATATTTGAAAATGCAATTTCCTTACTTACCTAAGGTACCCCTTCAAAAAATTTCAATTATTTTTTTTCTAAACTTTTCAATTTTTGACTGTACCAATCCAAATAGGGGGTCAAATTCAATGGAAAAGCAGTTTTGTGATTTTTCTTTTCGAGGTTTTAGTGCCTTTAAAGAAATGAAAATGATTTCTGCATTTTTTGTCCTGAAAAATCTTGATTTATTGACATTGCCTCACAAAATCGCCAATAACTCAAATAATTTCCTACAAATTCTGATGTATATTTACATATTCTTAATCAGAACAAAAGACTCTTTGAGATAAAACAAAATTGAATCATTTACCTCAAATAGTTTTCGGGATATTGAGCCTCAAAGTTAAAACCTTCAAAGTCGATTATCTCGAAAACGAAGCCCTAGGGCTCGGTGCCCTAAATAACCCTTTTTAAAGCCGCATTTTAGATCTACAATTTAATTCTGAGAGCTTTTCTGGTTTAGTAGTTCAACAGATTTCACATAAATAGTATTAGTATTCACATAAGATTCACGTTAATATCATATCAAAAACCTACGTAATAAAGTTAAAGGCTTAAGTTTCAAAAGTCTCCTTGACTCTCAAAATATCATTCAAAAACGTTTTTTCCAGTAGAATTATCTTGTTGACCACACTGTACTTAGATGACACTATAATTTCCTTCTAATTTATACCAGATTTGTGACGAAACCGAACCCAGAAAACGTAGTAAATTTATCGAATGCTCCAATGAACACTGTTATTTCATATATTGTGAAGAATGCTGGAAAGATATGGGTAACGAATGCTTGGCATGTACTTCTGAGGAAATGCCTGATATTGATACAACCGAAGAAGATGATGAAGATGAAGAAATAATTGACGAAAATTAAGTTTAATAATTGATTTATTAAAAAAAAATTATCATTTGCTTAAGTATTTTTCTTTAAGAGGAACTTCTTCAAACTTTTTATTCACTATTTTCATTTCACTTTGCGACTGAAAGCACACTAGGAATATAGTCCAGGCGCTCCAGACTATCACAATCAAACCCAATGAAACAAATATAAGGGAAAGATAGTTAAGTAGCTCTGGAATATTTTGAATTAGACGTAAACTGGCTGCCAAGTCATCTTTGAGAGCCACATGTTGGGAAAAGTAAAACATTGGGACGTAGATTTTTGGTACATCTTGATACATTCTACAAAAAAAAATAAATATCAAGTCATTATTTTTAAAAGCAAAAATACCTTACGTGTAGCTTCTTATCGGCTGCAATAACATGTTGAGTTGCATATTTGCCCCAATATCCATTATAATACCAGATTTCTGTGGAAAACAATTATTAATCATTATAACTATACACTTATTAAAATTGAACAAAACTCTTACCGGTTCTATAACAATATAGAATTCATGTTTCCTTGCATCAGGTTTCATTCCAGTAATTGAACTAGTATAATACGGATCGGCCATGTAAAAATGCGGAAACGATAAAAATGTTGGAGAATTTTGCCTGCATTTTGAAACGTCTAGAACTCCGGATGGTATGCATTCTTTGTTGCAAAAGCAACGATTTTCTGGCCTAAGAGTACCTAAAATTTATCCATACCTATAATCCTCACAGAAATATAGAGATTATTACTTACCATTATCAAAAATATTATTTGCAGTAAATCTATAACCTGTAACTCCTTTAATTGTTTCCTCTCTTACGTATTCTAATTCAGCGTATTTGCATAATTCACTGGAATAAAATACTAATTTATTGGTTTTTTGTATGTTCAATGGGTAAAATTCTGTTGCCGATCCTTTGATCTGGTTGCAGTGACCATGGAAAAAATCCGTGTAGTTTTTATTGTTCCAGGTCAATTGACGTCCAAAATTTCTATCGTTTTTTATATACATTGTGAATACTTCGTCAACAATTGTATAATTTCTCTAAGTAAGTATATCAAAATTATTTATTTATTATGTTTGATATTTACTACTCACTTTGTAAAACAATCCAAATCTTTCTTGTACATTTAGGGCAGGAAAATTACTTAAAATACTCAATATTCCATCAGCGTATCCATCAAAAAGGATTTCTCTTGCTGATTTTCTTACGTACAAACTAGAAAGGCTTGACATGGACATGGATAAAAATCTTTTGGCAAAATATTTGTAGTCTTTGCCTTGGTAAGCGATTGTCTAAAACGTTTTCAAGTAGAGAGGTAAGCAGCTTCAATGTAATTGCTGTATACATACTTACTAAAGGCACTGCATTGATTGTTGTAATATTATCGTCGTCCATTTGTCTAGGACTATTTTCTGGATTGAAATAATACAATTTTCTAATTCTATAGCTAATTGTGTTATTGTCATTGTTCCAACTAAGGTTTGTCTTTTCTTTTACTTCTTTAACCCTATAAGATTTTCTCATTGAATGATGTATTTAACAGAAAAAAATGGCTTACCTATAAGGGCCAACTTCCTCGAAATTAGGCTTGACGCTTTTATTGTAAATTTGTTCGGCGTTTGTCCAATTGAATAAATACAAATCTAAGCTTAACGGCGGGTCGTTTTTTCTCCAAGCTTTGAATGCTTCTATACAAGAAAAAAGTAATCCATATTAATTTACTATAGTGTAAAGTATTAAGTCTCTAAAATCTCATAGTCTTTGATATTGGTTTCAAAATTAGGAGATTTTAAAGTAGGAAATTTTCTTTAGTCTTCTCCGTTAAACTCATTGATAAATCAGTCGTTTCAAAATTCTTTTGACTTGATGTTTCATGAATTTCAACTCTCAAGTCTTCATTTTTTAGAATCTTTGGCTCGGAATTTTCAGTATTGTGTACGCAGAGTTTTCAGAATTTGAGATTCTAAAAATCGGAAATCTTGTCCCATTCCTGTGTCGTTATTTTCTCTTGGATCAAGAATTGTGTCTCTAAGATTCTCACTTGAAAATCTTTCATATCTTCAGAATCTCTTGAATCTTGACTGAGATATTTCAGTATTGAGCCCAGAGCTTAGAGAATCTGAGATTCCAAAATCGGAAATCCTATTGTCTACTTCCTGTGTCATTATTAATTCTTAACCCAAGAATTTTGACTCAAAGGTCTTCAGAATCGTGAGTCTTGATTGCTCAAACTCTTGCAAGAGAGTTTTCAACTCTGACTTAATTTTCATGCTTTTTAGTATAAAGTTTCGAGTACTTGGAGTCTAAAAACATGACTCGGAGTTTTCACCATTGTTTGAGAATTTGGGATTTTAAAATAGAAATAATTGTCCCTTTTGTGTGTCATTATATTGACTCTTGGATCAAGAATTTTGACTCAGAATCATATCTTGATTGCTCAAAGTCTTGCAAGAGTGCCTTCAACTTTGACTTAATTTCCATGGTTTCTGGTATGAAGTTTCGAGTCCTTAGATACTCTAAGAATATGACTCAGAGTTTCCACTATTGAGTTTGAGAATTTGGGATTTTAAAATAGGAAATATTGTCTCTTTCGTGTGTCATTATATCGATTTTTGGATCAAGAATTTTAACTCAGAATCATGAGTCTTGATTGCTCAAAATCTTGCAAGAGTGTCTTCAACTTTGACTAAATTTTCATGGTTTTTGATTAGTAGGTATATGAAGTTTCGAGTCCTTAGATACTCTAAGAATGTGACTCAGAGTTTTCACTATTGAGTTTGAGAATTTAGGATTTTAAAATAGGAAATATTTGGTGGTATTTATAAAAACGAAGTATCTGCTACTATTACAAGTATTAGTATGTTCTCCGTAGTATTTACTTTAAAACGAAGAAGATACACTACATTTCGAAACTACTGGAAATTAGTAAATATGCTTTTTGAAGTAAATACTGCGTAAAACATACTAATACTTGTAGTAGTAGTAGGTACTTCGTTTTTATTCATACCGCCCATTGTCTTTTACGTGTGTCATTATATTGACTCTTGGATCAAGAATTTTGACTCAGAATCATGAGTCTTGATTGCTCAAAGTCTTGCAAGAGTGTCTTCATTTCTGACTTGATTTTCATGGTTTTTAGTATGAAGTTTCGAGTCATTAGATACTCTTAGATCATGACTAAGAGTTTCCACTATTGAGTTTGAGAATTTGAGATTTTAAAATAGGAAATATTGTCTCTTTTGTGTGTCATTATATTGACTCTTAGATCAAGAATTTTGACTCAGAATCATTAGTCTTAATTTATCAAAGTCTTGCAAGAGTGTCTTCAACTCTGACTAAATTTTCCTGGTTTTTAGTGTAAAGTTTCGAGTCCTTAGATTCTCTAAGAACATAACTCAGATTTTTCACTATTGAGTTTGAGAATTTGGGATTTTAAAATAGGAAATATTGTCTCTTCCGTGTGTCATTATATTGACTCTTGAATCAAGAATTTTGACTCAAAATCATGAGTCTTGATTGCTCAAAGTCTGGCAAGAGTGTCTTCAACTCTGACTCAATTTTCATGGTTTTTGGTATGAAGTTTCGAGTCCTTAGATTTTCTAAGAATCTGACTCAGAGTTTTCACTATTGAGTTTGAGAATTTGGGATTTTAAAATAAGAAATATTGTCTCTTTCGTGTGTCATTATATTAACTCTCGAATCAAAAAATTTCATTCAGAATCATAAGTCTTGATTGCTCAAAGTCTTGCAAGAGTGTCTTCAACTCTAACTTAATTTTCATAAATTTTGGTATGAAGTTTCGGGTTCTTAGATTCTCTTAAAATGTGACGCAGAGTTTCCACTATTGAGTTTGAGAATTTGAGAGTTTAAAATAGGAAATCTTGTCTCTTTCGTGTTTTATTATATTGACTTTTGGATCAAGAATTTTGACTCAGAATTATGATTCTTGATTGCTTAAAGTCTTGCAAGAGTGTCTTCAACTCTAACTTAATTTTCACGGTTTTTGGTATGAAGTTTCGAGTCCATAGATTCTCTCACTATTGAGTTTGAGAATTTGGGATTTTAAAATAGGAAATCTTGTCTTTTTTGTGTGTCATTATATTGACTCTTGGATCAAGAATTTTGACTCAGAATCATGAGTCTTGATTGCTCAAAGTCTTGCAAGAGTGGTCTTCAACTCTGACTTAATTTTCATGGTTTTTGGTATGAAGTTTCTAGTCCTTAGATTCTCCAAGATTATGACTCCGAGTTTCCACTATTGAGTTTGAGAATTTGGGATTTTAAAATAGGAAATATTGTCTCTTCCGTGTGTCATTATATTGACTCTTGAATCAAGTATTTTGACTCAGAATCATGAGTCTTGATTGCTCAAAGTCTTGAGAGAGTGTCTTCAACTCTGACTTAATTTTCATGGTTTTTAATATGAAGTTTCGAGTCCTTAGATTCTCTAAGAATATGACTCAGAGTTTTCACTATTGAGTTTGTGAATTTGGGATTTTAAAATAGGAAATCTTGTCTCTTTCGTGTGTCGTTATATTGACTCTTGGATCAAGAATTTTGACTCAGAATCATGATTCTTGATTGCTCAAAGTCTTGCAAGAGTTTGTTCAACTTTGACTTAATTTTCATGGTTTTCACTTAGTATGAAGTTTCGAGTCCTAAGATTCTGTAAGGATATGACTGAGAGTTTTCATTATTGAGTTTGAGAATTTAGTATTTTAAAATAGGAAATCTTGTCTCTTTCGTATATCATTATATTGACTCTTGGATCAAGAAATTTGACTCAGAATCATGAGTCTTGATTGCTCAAAGTCTTGCAAGAGTGCCTTCAACTCTGACTTAATTTTCATGTTTTTTAGTATGAAGTTTCGAGTCCTTACTTAGATTCTCTCACTATTGAGTTTGAGAATTTGGGATTTTAAAATAGGAAATATTGTCTTCTTCGTGTATCATTATATTGACTCTTGGATCAACAATTTTGACTCAGAATCATGAGTCTTGATTGCTCAAAGTCTTGCAAGAATATCTTCAACTCTGACCTAATTTTCATGGTATTTGTTATGAAGTTTCGAGTCCTTTGATTCTCTAAGAATCTGACTCAGCGTTCTCACTTTAAGTTCGAGAATTTGGAATTTTAAAACAGGAAATATTGTCTTCTTCGTGTGTCATTATATTGACTATTGGATCAAGAATTTTGACTCAGAATCATGAGTCTTGATTGCTCAAAGTCTTGCAAGAGTGTCTTCAACTCTGACTTAATTTTCATGGTTTTTAGTATGAAGTTTCGAGTCCTTAGATTCTCTCACTATTGAGTTTGAGAATTTGGGATTTTAAAATAGGAAATATTGTCTTCTTCGTGTATCATTATATTGACTCTTGGATCAACAATTTTGACTCAGAATCATGAGTCTTGATTGCTCAAAGTCTTGCAAGAATGTCTTCAACTCTGACCTAATTTTCATGGTTTTTAGTATGAAATTTAGAGTCTTCAGATTGTCTAAGAATATGACTCAGAGTTTTCATTATTGAGTTTGACAATTTGGGATTTTAAAATAGGAAATATTGTCTCTTTCGTGTGTCATTATATTGACTATTGGATCAAGAATTTTGACTCAAAATCATGAGTCTTGATTGCTCAAAGTCTTGCAAGAATGTCTTCAACTCTGACTTAATTTTCATGGTTTTTAGTATGAAGTTTCGAGTTTTTAGATTCTCTAAGAATATGACAGAGTTTTCATTATTGAGTTTGAGAATTTGGGATTCTAGAATAGGAAATCTTGTCTCTTTCGTGTGTCATTATATTGACTTTTGGATTAAGAATTTTGGCTCAGAATCATGAGTCTCGATTGCTCAAAGTCTTGCAAGAGTGTGTTCAACTCTGACTTAATTTTCATGGGTTTTAGTATGAAGTTTAGATTCTCTAAGAGTTTTCACTTTTGAGTTTCAGAATTTGGGATTTTAAAATAGGAAATATTGTCTCTTTCATACCTATGTCATTATTGACTGTTTGTTTCAAAAATTTTGACTCAAAGGTCTACAGAATCATACGTCTTTAACTAGTTTTGAAGCAACATCATCTCTAGTTAAGTAATTTCTTGTTTTTTTCGAGTAGGTATATTGAATCTAGTACCAATCATTTTATCTTAGAGATCTTTTCAAAATTTTGTGTCTTGTTTTCTCAGAGTCTCCAGTTGTGAGCTTACTGCAAAATCTTCTGAGTTGATTTTTCATAGTTTTCTACAAGAGTCTCAGAGTCTTTTTGACTACCAGTATTAAATCTTGAACCAGAAATTTCTGGACTTTAAAGACCTCCGATTGTAAATCTTCACTAAAGAGTCACGTCAAAATCTTCTAAGAATTTGACTATGAGTTTTACAGTATTACTTGTTCTTTGAAGCTTCCAGATTATGAGATTCTTGAATGGGTCTTCTTTGAATCTCTTGGATCAAAAATTTCGACTCAAAATACATCAGAAAATTGAGTTTTCTAGGACTTTTCCATATTTAGTTTCAAGTCTCAGAGTCTGTAAAATCTCGACTACTTAAGTCTTTAGAAAAGCTACTTTCTCCACTAACTTTAATGTGAAGAAAATATTGTTTGGCATCAGAAGTCCAATAAAACATTCTAAGAAGATAACGAACAACACAAAGGAAAATCAGCTTTCCTCACTATTGTACTACAACTATTGTAATTCTTACCTGAATCTGGTGTAAATTTTAGGGCATAATTTATGACGAATTCATAAATGGGCTCGAGAAATATAAAAATTGATATCCCTATTCCAACTAGAAATATTCCTGTCAGTAACATAGCTAGTTTGAGACACTGATGGTGACGTTGGTTTTTCAGTTTTTTCGAACTAGAATAAGAAATAGTTATTGTGACATTGGACTAGCAAATTTGTATCTTGTAAAACTATATTGAAGCAGTGCTATTTGAACCTCATAGGTCAAGGTATTTGAACTATTTGTAGATAATGGATTATTGTACTAACAACATCCAACTAACTTTTCCTTTGCAAAAAAAGCTTCAAGAATAGAATAAAGTTATCTTAGATCAGTATGTAGGTACTATAACATAAAATTCATTGTTTCTGTTTTTTTTTTAATAATAATTATATAAACATTAAAATGTACTTACACCATTATTATCAATTCAATTAAAACCTAAGCACACAACAAACACTAAATTAAATAATACATTCTCCTCATTTAATCCCAGTGAGATTCTGTAAACTCTAGACAGAACTAGAACGGACTCGATTTTTTTTTTTCGTTTTTGGCAAAGAAAGCTTGTAGATAAATGAGGCAAATGGTTATCACAAGAACTACTGACCTGCCAATACAGATAAAATACAATAAAATAAAGTAAGTCAGCTTTTGTTTATTAAAAACAATCTTATCGTACAAGTGTCTTGGATGATGTGATTTGTTGAGAAACCAATAATAATTATTTATTTTGTTACTCTTTTTCTGTAATAATTATTTAAGATAATACTTAAAGGCTTTGTGCGTAGATGTTAATTTATGTAAGTATGTATAGTTTGTAGAAAAAAAAGAGGAAAATGCGTTTTATTTTTTGGATAAAAATATGAAAACAGGCTAATTAAGTTTTAAGTACATATAACTTTTTACTGATAAAAACAAGTGCATCATTGAAATGATTATGCTTTGGATAGAAACAACTGGGTAAAAAATAAAACCACATAAAGTTCTTGTAAAAAAAATTATATTGTAATTTTGTGTGTTAAAGGGATTTCCTCTTTCATCATCACAATGCTTTTCCGTTTTACCGGTTTCGATGACCAAAACCGATAACAATAACAAATTTTTAAAATAACAGAAAGCAATACAAAAATTACACCGATTGCTAAGCATATAGCTTCAAAATTTGTTAGCACGGTTAAGTAGAAAATTATGTTGTCTGGCACGAGGACGGACTGTTCGAACCATAACACTGGAATGTAGACTTTTGGTGCTTTTTCGAATATTCTAAAACAAAAAAAGTTATGGATAAAATGGTCAAAGTACACTGAAAGTAAAAATTTAAAACTTTGAAAATCTCCAAAGACTTCAAAGTTGCTCAAATCTCATGGATATTTAAGTAAAATTCAAATCTTACCTAATTGAAGACAGTGGCTGCAAAAGTAAGTTAACCTGTAACCTAGCGGACACTTGCAAAGCCATGCCTGTTTTCTGTAAGCAATAAGGTATTAAATTTCTACAAGAATAATAGGTAACTATAAATCCTTACCGGTTCAAAAATCATAAAAAAATCATGCCTACTCTCATTAGGCTCTAGCCCATCTACCAAACTCGTATAATAAGGATCTGCCTTATAAAAATGAGGCAAAGATACAAACGCTGGCGATCCGTATCTGCAAGCCGATATATCTAGGGCTCCATAGGGCATACATTCCCCATTACAAAAACATTTATTTTCTGGAACTTTAGTACCTAGAATTCAAAATCACAATACATATTTCCAATGCAAATATACAAGTATACCATTATCTAAAAACCTATCTCTAGCTACATATTTGTAGCCCAAGATTCCGCTGACAACGACTTCTTGTTCGAATTCCAATTGGGCGTATCGGCACAAATCGGGCGAGAAAAATTTAATTACTGTATCCTTTTTGAGGTTTGCTGGGAAAAATTCGCCTGCTGAACCCCCGATTTCGCCGCATTGTCCGGGAAAAAATGGAGTTTTTTCCATGAATTTCCAACTGTGCAATTCGCCTAGTTGGCCCGATATTCCTGTGTCCATGTTGAATTGACCCTCGTACGTTTCGGAATTGTTTCTCTATGGAAGGAATTTGTGGATTAATGTTTTTGAATTTCGAATCTAGTAGAAACTGCGACAATTGAAGAATTATTTATTCTCGGCACTTGATTCGGAACAGAACATAAACTAGCTGATTTTTAATAGCAACATTCTTAAAGAGTTGCTACATAGCGGAATTATTTATTCGTGTGATTATTCCCGGCTTTTGGCCCTGGTTTGATGACGAGTGCCAAAATCTCAGCGCCATTAAAACGGAAACACGAATTAAAATGCTTCATAGTCCATCAGAACTGACGACAGCTAGATTTAACGAACTGAGAACACAACTACGTAAACTGATCAGGAAAAGGACAAAAGAGCACGAGACTTCCAGAACGGCAATGCAAGTAGAGTTTACAAGGAAGTAAAGGGGCGTAAAAGCGGATTCCGCCCAAGAAGTGCCACAATGCTAAAGCGTAATGATGGCTCGGTTACTGCCTCCAAAGCGCCAGTTTATACATAATGTATTTAGTTCTGGGCGGAGTTCCCGGAGAGGAAGTAAGAGAGACCTTTTATCCCTTGCATACAACGAGGATCAGCTGCTATATACAACTTATCCGTAAAAAGACTCAATCAAGAAGGGATAGAAAAGATATCAGTGTGCGGACAAACACACCTAGGAATGCAATTATCTCAATTAACCGCTAATCTCAAAGAACCACCCGACTCTAACTCCTGCTACCAAGGCCTGTATCAATAAGGTGATATACAGCAGCCTGTCCAATTGATTTTCCCTAACGGACAAGAAAAATCACTTAAACGGAAGTTGAGCAGCTCGTATAAGAGAAAACTTAAGATAACCACATACCGGAGCGGTGCGCGTGGTAATCAATAATCAATGAAAATCACTGGACACTTGGAAAGGCTACTTTGATGAACTACTGAACAGACCGTCGCAGGCAGAACCCGAATGTAGTGTATTCCCTACAGCAGAGGCTAGCATCCTACCTGTATCCATGGAGGAGACAACTAGAGCCATTAGAAAACTTAGGAATAACAAAGCTGCGGGCCGAGATAATATCTTGGCAGAGAGTCTAAAGCATGGAGGAGAGAACACAACTACGTAAACTGATCAGGAAAAGGAAAAAAGAGCACGAGACAGAAAAAGAACTCAACTTATACAGAATGACACAGAAGAGCAATGCAAGGAGACTTTACAAGAAAGTAAGGGGGCGCAAAAACGGATTCCGCCCAAGAAGTGCCACAATGCTAAAGCGAAACGATGGCTCAGGGACTGCCTCCAAAGCGCCAGTTTATACATGCCTAATGTACTTAGTTCTGGGCGGAGTTCCCGGAGAGGAAGTAAGAGAGACCTTATATCCCTTGCATACAACGGGGATCAGCCGCCATATACAAGTTATCCGTAAAAAGACACAATCAAAAGGGGATAGAAAAGAAATCAATGTGCGGACGAACACACCTAGGAATGCAATTATCTCAATTAACCGCTAGTCTCAAAGAACCACCCGACTCTAACTCCCGTTACCAAGCCTGTGTCAATAAGGTGATACACAGCAGCCTCTCCAATTGATTTCCCTCAACGGACAAGAAAAATCACTTAAACAGAAGTTGAGCAGCTCGTTAAAGAGAAAACTTAAGATAACCACATACCGGAGCGGTGCGCGCGGTTATCAATAATCAATAAAAATCACTGGACAGTTGGAAAGGCTACTTTGATGAGCTACTGAACAGATCGTCGCAGGAAGAGCCCGAATGTAGTGTATTCCCTACAGCAGAGACTGTTATTCCAGCTGTATCCATGGAGGAGACAACTAGAGCCATTAGAAAACTTAATAATAAAAAAGCGGCGGGCCGAGATAATATCTTGGCAGAGAGTCTAAAACATGGAGAAGAGAACACAACTACGTAAGCTGATTAGGAAAAGGAAAAAAGAGCATGCGACAGAAAAAGTACTAAACTTATACAGAATGACTTTCAGAACGGCAATACAAGGAGACTACAAGGAAGTAAGGGGGCGCAAGAACGGATTCCGCCCAAGAAGTGCCACAATGCTGAAGCGTAACGATGGTTCGGTTACTACCTCCAAAGCGCCAGTTTATACATAATGTATTCAGTTCTGGGCGGAGTTCCCGGAGAGGAAGTAAGAGAGACCTTTTATCCCTTGCATACAACGAGGATCAGCTGCTATATACAACTTATCCGTAAAAAGACTCAATCAAGAAGGGATAGAAAAGATATCAGTGTGCGGACGAACACACCTAGGAATGCAATTATCTCAATCAACCGCTAGTCTCAAAGAACCACCCGACTCTAACTCTTGCCACCAAGGCTGTGTCAATAAGGTGATACACAGCGGCCTGTCCAATTGATTTTCCGCAACGGACAAGAAAAATCACTTAAGCAGAAGTTGAGCAGCTTGTATAAGAGAAAACTTAAGATAACCACATACCGAAGCGGTGCGCGCGGTAATCAATAATCAAAAAAAATCACTGGTCACTTGGAAAGGCTACTTTGATGAACTACTAAACAGACCGTCGCAGTAAGAACCTGAATGCAGTGTATTCCCTACAGCAGAAGCTGTTATCCCACCTGTATCCATGGAAGAGACAACTAGAGACATCAGAAAACTTAAGAATAACAAAGCTGCGAGCCGAGATAATATCTTGGCAGAGAGTCTAAAACATGGAGAAGAGAACACAACTACGTAAGCTGATTAGGAAAAGGAAAAAAGAGCATGCGACAGAAAAAGTACTAAACTTATACAGAATGACTTTCAGAACGGCAATACAAGGAGACTCTACAAGGAAGTACGGGGGCGCAAGAACGGATTCCGCCCCAGAAGTGCCACAATGCTAAAGCGTAACGATAGCTCGGTTACTGCCTTCAAAGTACCAGTTTATACATAATGTATTTAGTTCTGGGCGGAGTTCCCGGAGAGGAAGTAAGAGAGAACTTTTATCCCTTGCATACAACGGGGATCAGCCACCATATACAAGTTATCCATAAAAAGACTCAAACAAGAAGGGATAGAAAAGAAATCAATGTGCGGACGAACACACCTAGGGATGCAATTATCTCAATTAACCGCTAATCTCAAAGAACCGCCCGACTCTAACTCCTGCTACCAAGGCCTGTATCAATAAGGTGATATACAGCAAACAAAAATTGAGCAGCTCGTATAAGAGAAAACTTAAGATAACCACTTACCAGAGCGGTGCGCGCGGTAGTCAATAATCAATAAAAATCACTGGACACTTGGAAAGGCTACTTTGATGAACTACTGAACAGACCGTCGCAGGAAGAACCCGAATGTAGTGTATTCCCTACAGCAGAGGCTGTTATCCCACCTGTATCCATGGAGGAGATAACTAGAGCCATTAGAAAATTTAAGAATATCAAAGCGGCGGGCCGAGATAATATCTTGGCATAGAGTCTAAAACATGGATCAGACGATCTTACCATACAAATATACAGCTTATTGCAACAAATTTAGAATCAAGAAATTATTCCCGACAAATGGAAAGAAGGTGTTATTATCCCACTCTACAGAAAAAAGGGACCAAATGCAGTGTAAAAATTCTCGAGGTATTGCGCTACTAAATCACGTCTACAAAATATTTTCTAACATTCTCCTTCAACGTCTTCCTCTATATACCGAAGAGATTACCGGAGACTACCAATGCGGTTTTCCAAGCGGTAAATCAACAACTGACCAGCTTTTTACTATCTGTCAGATTCTAGAGCAGTGGTTCCCAAACCTTTTTTTTTGCGCCCCCTTTCTGAAATCAAGAAGTGGTCGCGCCCCCCTTCTTTTCCCCATTATACAAAAAAAAAAAATTGCACTCACTGTAACTCGTCTGAACTGGACTTTGGCAGAGGAGGAATGGGCATGTAGCAATGATCGCATTGCAAAGCTGCTTTGGATAAGGTATGCGCTGTTGCCGGATTGTAGACATCTTTTTTTAAATTTCAACTGATTTTTTATTTTAAAGCTCAAAATTTGTATTAATTTTTTAGAAGACTTACGCTTTCCTTAATGTTGCTTCACGCCCCCCAAGGGGGGCGCGCCTCCCCCCAGTTTGGGAACCACTGAAGCGTACCGGCAACACCGCGCCGCTCCAGAGCCATCTACAGCGACCCTTGCCTTTCGCCCTCTCGGCGAGTTCAATAGAGACTTTCGTACAACCTGTTTCGTTCTTGACCTTTAACTTTATTTCGTATTTATTTTAGTTAATAAAGTTGGTTTTTTTGTACAAACAAATGTGAAAGTCATTTCTAAATAATCCGAGAACATGCCATTGCGGTTACATTGGTCCTTCGAGTCCGAATTTGAATATAAATTAAAATATTAGTGCGCGCTTTTATCGATTTTCTCAAGTACGCCCTGCAACCATATTCAAGCTTTCGGGGACGGACATTTAGCCTCGTTTCAAGGTGCTTCGTTCTGAAGTCGAAACCCCGGGTGTTCGAGGGTGCTGAAAGATTGGTGTCGCGAGGCTAGAGAAAGTGACGTCAGCGACGAGCGCGTATCATCGCCGCCGGGCTGGTACAAGGTAGTGATACAACGTGTAGTACCTACCGAAGAAAAAGCTAGGGGCGGCTCCCGATTTTCGTTCTTTTGGGAATTATTAATTATTCGAGCCCGCTGTTCGCGCTTGTGAAAAGACTATTTCGTGCCGATTGGAGGAAAACGTCTTCAAGAAGCCGTGATACACCAGGTCGTATAATTCCTTTTTATCTTTCTATATCCTTTACTATTTCGCTGGGTTTCTATTTGCACTATAGTAGTGTTACAAATAATTCTGATATTTTTTGCATGATCGTTTACTCGCAATAATTGATAATTTGTACTCACAGTAATTTAATAAATTGAAAATGGCCGATTTACAAACTTTTAAGAAAAAACGAGCCAGTTTAAAGGGTCAGCTTTCACGATTTAGGACTTTTGTTACTAATTTCAGAGGCGATTTTGCCCAATTGAAAATAAGATTAGAGCAATGTCGAAAGTTATTGTATGA